ACTTTCCTGAGTACACAGCTGTTTTGATTTGACTTTTTTGTTTGCCTTTCTGAGAAAACTGAACCATGAAACATTATTCAAGAGAGACATCAGAATGAGATACCAAGAACTTCATTATCCTAGGAAAAGATTATACAAATAAACTGAAAAATTTCTTATTCTCCCATTGGCCAAGATTCATGTATCTGTTATGGTGTTTTCCACAGGTGAGCCTCAAGGGAGAGAGAAAATCATTTTACAATTGTGTGCCAAATTGACTTTGTTCCCTTTTATTGAATAACTATTAATTGGAGCACTTCATTTCTTGAAGTAGCATTAGTTAAGCCCAACTGACCTCAACAAGAGAGTTACACCTAAAAGATATCCCAAAATGTGTATCATATATATATATAGATAAAAATATATGTATATAATCTGTCATAAAGAAGGTAGCTTCAAAGGTCGCAACTTCAGTAACTGTTTTTAAGTTATGGGTTCCTTAGAGGTGATGTTAGGCCCTGCTAAAACGCAAACAGAAGTCAATGCTACTGCTGAGAGGGCATTTCCACCTCCTGAATTCATCCCAGCCTCGGCGCTGGGGGCTGCAGTGTCAGCACTAGCTACTGTGAACCATGTTAGAAGCTAAGGATCCACCTGAAAACTCCGTGGAACAGAAGTAGTGGCTATTGGAGGTAACCACTAACTGCAAGGACGGTGGTAGCACAGGTGAGGCAACCACAAAGAGCCACTTTGCTTTGAATTTCAGAGCTGTGAATAAACCTGGATAAGACACTTGATATGAACTTACGTGAATTTATATGAAAAAAGAAATGCATACATTTTTCATTCTCTGCATCATTTTACTTCTGAGTATCAGTCATATTTTGATAGCACTGAGGTGTATTTACATTAAGACTCTCTTTACAATGGCTTTGAAATTCAAGTCATAATTTACATGGTTGGATTTTACCTTCAGTTATGGAAAAAAATTATGTAATTTGGAGGACCAAGTTTGCTACTGCTCTCAGCACCTTTTTGGACATTTTGGTAGTGCAGGGCAGCAGATGGTCAAAAAGCAACACAGGAAATAAAGATTTTTTTTCTAGATAAAGCAGAGTAGGGTTTTCTGTTTGTTTTTTGGGTCAGCAAATGCTCTTTAGCAGTAAACAGCTTTTTATAGCCAATGGTAAAATCTTCTGTGCAGCCAAGCACATTTGGCTTTGAATGAGGTGCTCTTCTGAGACCACGCTCAAAGTCCTGCAGTTCTTACACTACTCTACGCCAGTGAGATCTGTTTACGATTAGAAAAGGCTGAAGTAATTTGGAGTCGTTACACAGATGAGAGGCAGCTCATCATCCCGGTCTTTTCCATTTTAGATGGCAGCAAAGATTAGAAGGGTCTCTGCCCTACTCACTTCAGACACCTAAAGTGTCCCTCTGAGCGCAGCACAAAGCCCTATCCACCAAGATCCCTGAAGGCTTGAAGTGTTGGAGAGGACAGTGACAACTCACAGGAGTTTGTCTGTCATGGCCAGACAAACAGGACAGCAATTCTGTGCCCTGCCTGAATAACTCCCCTGTTGTCTCCTCACCGTGCAGCTGTTCTTCTTTTGTATTTCTGTGACTAGAAACCGTGGGAGATTTGCTTTACCTGCATGCGGCCGGGGCATCGCTTTGCCCTGCCTGTTAATTTAGGGAGTTGCCCAAGCTCATGTGCTCTCTCATTGCTCTGCTTGTCCACCCCTACTCCACACATTCTAGAAAAATATAATGATTTCTACAGGGCAGAGATGGAATGATGTAATTTGCATTTTTTCTTTTATTTTTTTTTCCCCTAGGAGCATCTTTCATGATGCACTCAAAAAGCACAATATTATCTTCTCCAAAGACTTTACTGGATACTGTCAAAAGCAGCTTTTTTCCATTAATTGTTTCATAATATGACAGCTATTAAAGTGAATCAAAAAGTGGAAAAGATTCAGGAATTCAGTTAGTCCAGTCCTTTCCCAAAGTGATAACAGCCACATAATCCCAAACCTGTTCTTACACATCTCCAGTGACAGAAAATCTGTAATGCCACCAGAAGGGCTTCCACGGCTTCCTTCAGGAAAGTGAATTCAGGCCTGCTGCAGCTTCTTGTGGGAAGAAAAGTCTCGTTCTGCTACTACTTGTCCTTTGTATCACTGTCAGAATGAACTACCCTCATCCTCTTATCATCATTCTTTAATACACATGAAGAGAATTATGCCATTATTGCCTCTTCCATCCTCCCCTTTTTTTGGTTAATCAACCAGAATCAATTCTGTAAAATAAATCCTGTTTTGTAGACTCCAGATCATCATGTCTGAGTTCTTGACTGTTTCACATTACTCTTGGAGCATAATAATCAAAACAGCACACAAGAAAGCACTGAGAGCTTTCTAAAATTTAGGTACCACGAAAAGATAGCTTTATATACCTTGTAGGCTCTCATCCTATGCATTCCATGATGTTTCCTTTTCCTGCAGCAATGTGGCATAACTGACTTCAGCTGGCAGTTTACAACTACTCCTCTTACATATTTTTTAAGACAAATGCTCCCTAACCAGTGGCTTCCCCTTAGCTGCATGTCTCCAGCCTCAAGCTTGTCCTTACTGAAGAGTTTTGTTACTTCTCCTATCTCCAACTAGTACCTATCTGGATTCCCATTCTGATCTCCAAAGAAACTGCAGTCCTACCATGTAATAAGCATTTACATTACATAATAATGTAAATGTAAATGTTCATGTAATAAGCATTACATAAACACATATAACAAGCATTTAACTCTGATGTTATTATGTTAAAAAAAATGGGTAAAAAAGGTCATTGCATAAAATTATGCGACTGAGAAGCCATGTAGGTGCTTGTAAACCGAGTCCTCTGCCTGTGATGGAGTAACTCTGTGGCCCTGTAATGCAGTTCTGATGGTGCTAGCACGGGGCTGTCAGCTTTGAACCACCTTTGCAAGGCCCAAGACTTTTCACACCAGCTTCCTCCACAATTTTGTTCACCTGCCTGCAGTTCTGTTTTACTTGAGCTGTGATAGTAGTTTTTAATTGACCAGGTGTCTGTAGCTAATTTGCTTTACTCCTGTCTATATTTCATCTAGTACAACCGTGGTTTTGCAGAGATACCAGTAACAAGCAACTCTTCTGTTGGAAATACTGGCGGTGCTGACACAAGGACGTGGAGCGGAGCAGTGCGGCCTGGTAGGGGAGCGGCGCCTTGGGAGGCCGCGTGGAGGAGGGCCGGGCCGGGCCTCCACGACAGGGGACACACAGGCTGGCACCTGTCGGCCACAACGGCCACAAACAGCCCCCTCGGCCACAAACAGCTCACTAGCRGAGCTGGAAATGCACAAAACGTGTTTCAAAGGCAACACAGGAGCAGTATGTGAGTAGTATCTCTACAGGATTTATGAGAATATCGTTATGAATCACTGAAGAACTTCTAATCACAATACTCACTACATGCAGGTAAAAAAAAAAAAGGCAAATAAATTTGTCTGGACTATTTTTTTTGATAAAAGTATTCTACCTTATTCATCTTACTATTTTTTCTATGTGCTTACAAAAATAAATATTTCAATATTTTTTCCTGAGTGCTGAAATGAGAATAATAGACCCATGATTACCTAGTTCTATATTTCAATTTCTCTGCTATGATAGTAAGTAGGTAAGTAAGAAGTAAACATCTGTGCAGATTGCTCTACCAGGTATCTATTAATCTGGCCACAGAGGCACTGATTTTAGAAGACAGCAAGTCATTTGGAATCCCTTCAGTGGCCAGCGTCACACTGTCAGGTTGGTGAGGAATTCACCAAATATTTCTGGGCTCTAGTCAGTCCTCACGACAAACTTAATATGACGCCCTTAAAACTCAGAATGGATTTAACCATTTGAAGGTTTTAAAACCAAAACCATAAACAGATGACAATCAGCTTCACCCAAAACTATACAGTACCTATCACTTACACAGAATTTTAGTGTTTTTTGTTCTTTTTCTTCTAAAGGAGCAGTCACGTAGGCAGGTGTCTAGCATCAACATTACAAGTACAATTCTCAGCGGCTGTCATGCCATAACTCTGGATAGCAGTAAAAAATAAAACAAAGAGATTGCCAATATAATGCTCTTACCAGGCGGCTGATGAAAGAAGGAATGCTTTTTAGAAGCTTTTAAAATAATGTCAGTCCCCTATCCACAGACTGCACTCTTGGCCAATATTCAGGAGTAATTCCAAGGCCACGGAATTACAAAAATACAATGTAAAGCTTCTAGAGTTTTGCAATTATCAAGGGATCATATGGCTTGCAGAACTATAAATGGCTACATGCCACAGAAATCTACCACAGATAATTCTAAGTCAAAGGGCTGTAGTTAGAGGTTACACTAACAAGCATCCCAGCAACCATCCAACCAGAGTTGTAATCAAATAATTTATTTATAACTAAAGGAAGGTTTATAACTTATTTATAACTAAAAGGAAGTAGTCACACCTGTGTGTCAAATATTTGTTATTACATAAATCTGTCAAATCTCAGTTTCCTATTCTCCAGAATCTATACCGAAAAATCTATCTCCTGGACAGTAAACTATTCAAGAACTTGAATAGTGCAAGAAATTGCAGATTTTCACAGTTTTCATGTGAAGTTATGTAAAGTCAATATCTCTATATATTATTTTATATATAGAGAGATATTATATGATATATAATATAATATATATATTGAGGGTCTAAATTATGAAGTGAGAGGAGGCTTCTTAAATTGCAAGTAAAATCTCCAGGGGATTTAATGCATTCGACTCAGCATTTCCCTTTATAGTCCAATTCTGTTTCCAGCATTAGTTACCTAATGACATAAAGCACTTAACTTGAAAGGCTGAAATCAAGAATATATATAAGTTTTTTATGAATACCAAAGTCAAGAAAGCTATTAGAAATGCTAAAACACTTTTAAAAATAATCTTTACAATCATAAACAAAGAGAGCAGCAACATACCTGAAAAAGAACATGAACAGAGCAGCTGTGATGCAGAACAAAAGGACCTACAAGAAGGAGAAAAAACACTGTTACGTGCACAGTCACTGCTGCTGTCATGCTGTCATTTCTGGGTCATGAAGATTTTACAACTGTTACAATACAAGAGCAATTGCCATTGAAGCTGAGATTTTCATAGATTCTTTGGGTCCATCCTGCTTAAAATTATAAAAATATGAAATCCCTAGCTAGTGAGATAACATACACAGCAAAAGATATCATTTTGAATAACCCAGAATTCTCTTTTTTATTCCCTCCACAGGAGGTTTTACATTCCCCGTAATATATTTTTAAAAATAATCAAGCAAAATATAAAGGTAGCAAGTCTGCAAATAGGATATAGATGACAGAGAGGGGGAATGGAAATATTATCTTTTCACTCTTTCCCTTGCATTTATTGAAGCACGCTATTTGATTCCAACATTTATTTATTTGAATGGGAAAAGCAGTGAATTTATGACGCCTTTACAGTCAGCTGCTCCTGCTTAACTTGTTCCAGGCGGGCGTGGAAGCGGCCAGCTCTGCTCCCACCACGAGCAGCCCCTCTGCTCACGGTGCCTCCGTGGAATCAGGCAACTCCCTGGGGAGAAGCCACTCGTGCTTCGCGTGCTGACGTGGCTCGGAGCAGGCCCAGAGCCAACTGAGCAGCTCTGCATCCCTGGAAGGGGAAGGTTTCCCTTCTTCCTCCTGCTCCTTGTCACTGCCTCCTCCTCCTCATCATCTGCCTCCTCATCATCAGCCGATCATCTGCCTCCTCCTGCCTCCTCATCATCAGCCTCGATTACCTGCCTGAAATGCTTATACACCAATGCACAAAGCATGGCGAATAAGCAGGACGAACTGGAGATCTGTGTGCAGTCCCAGCACCATGATCTCATAGGAATCACAGAAACGTGGTGGGATAGCTCTAACGACTGGAGCGCTGTCATGGAGGGCTATGTGCTCTTTAGGAAGGACAGGCTGGGAAGGCGAGGTGGTGGAGTTGCTCTGTATGTGAGAGAGCAACTGGAATGCATGGAGCTCAGCCTGGGAGTGGATGATGAGAGGGTGGAGAGCTTGTGGGTAAGGGTTAAAGGGCAGGCGAACGTGGGAGACACTGTGGTGGGTGTCTGCTACAGGCCACCTGACCAGGAGGAGGCGGCTGATGAGGCCTTCTACAGGCAGCTGGAAGTTGCCTCACAGTCACAGGCCCTGGTTCTCATGGGGGACTTTGGGAGGTTGCCTCACGGTCGCAGGCCCTGGTTCTCATGGGGGACTTTAACTTCCCTGACATCAGCTGGAGAGACAGCACAGCCTTGCCACGCTGGACTTCAGGAGAGACAGCACAGCCTTGCCACGCTGGACTTCAGGAGGGCCAACTTTAGCCTCTTCAGAGACCTGCTGGGAAAGATCCCATGGGCTAGGGCTCTAGAAG